TCATGCAGTGGGTGGGCACACAAAGAATGTGTGGGAGAAGATAACGCTCCTTTTTATTGTATTAATTGTATGAGTGAGTAGAGAAGTGTTTGTAACTTAAAATGTTAATATTTTTTATTTTAAGTCTTTGTGACCCTAAGTTCATTAAAGAGTTAGTTACCTAATTTTCGTATAAGTTTAACACTTAACGATAACTTTTGACTGTTTTTTAGTTTTACTTTTTATTACCTGAGTTCATTAGTTAAATTTTCTAATAATTTTAGGTTTAAAAAAATGTACCTATTTGATTAAAAAAAAATAAAAACATTTTTCTGTCAAAATTGATTATTACAAAATAAAAAATCACACATTCTGTATTTTTTTACAATCATTTTTTGTATGCGGCAACCCTACCCCATGTGGTGCGTCAACCAACCCGTTAGAGGGGTAGGTTGCCGCACTCTGCTTTACTGAAGGAAATATATATTTGTATCAAACGATATGAGCTAAGAAAACAAAAAAAATATTTATGTTGCAAATATATAGGACTTTTCACGGGCAACAATGGGTTTTAAAAAATATTAATTATAGTAGCCGTTATAAAATAAATTCAAAAAAGTGCGGCTACCAGCCCCGGTCTCCCCTACTTCTTAGAAAGTTCGAAATTCCAAGTACTTCCGGAGAGAGGTGGAAGGATACCGGATTTTTCCATAATGGTTTCAATTATTTCCTAACTTTATTTGCGGTGGGATTTAAAAATAAATTGCACACTAACATTGCTACTTTTGCCTACAAAATAACGGACAAACATTGGACATCTGCTATGATTTACCTCTGCTTGTTATGATTAAAGGTACAGATAGATATGCTCATAAAACTGATACATTTGCTGTACTTAGATGGCTTGTTGAAAGCCTGCTCTTATCAATCTTGCCCAACGCAAATGCTCCGGACTACTTAGTAGCAAGCTCTTTGTCAGTGTTTCCAGTCTGTGTTTCAAGTGCAGGTAGTAAAAAATGGGAAACCAAATGACTTTCTCCAGAGAATTGAATAAAGTCATTATAATTGTAATACAGTGCATCCAAAAAATGTTGTTATCAAGAAAGAAGAAAAGGAGGAATAAGACGATTTGGGTTTGTGATTGGCTAACTAGAAGAGAAAATCTTGGAGCAGGTACTTGATTGTTAGTAGAAATGTAGAAAATCAGTTTGACGAATTACTTTCTAAAATTGAAAGCGATATACAGAAGCAAGATACACACATGCGAAATGATATTCCAGCAAAGGTGAGATTAGAATTTACATTGAGATATCTAGCAACTGGAGATTCGTTATACATATTGGAGCACTTCACGGAGTTGCAAAATCTACTATAGCTCAATTTCTACCTGAAATGTGTAATGCAGTATACAATGTTCTAAGTCTAAATGATTATATGCGGGTCAGTAAAGTGAAACACTCATTATCCGTAAGTGCAGATCTAGTATTTATTGTATCAAAATATCAAGTAGGTACTAAATCTAACACGATTTTCATGCTTTGGCTTTACATTTCCCATGCTATGATCAACAAATTTTCTTATTCTGGTTCGACATTTTATATTGTTGAGATGATATGAAAGGAACTGTGTAAGTCATTGTTTGTGTATTTGTAGTAGGAAGTATGGAAGTCATTTGTATAATAGTAGGAGGTGTGTAAGTTGTCTTAGTTTGTGTAAAGGAAGATAAGTTTGGGTACTGGTACTTGTTGCATTCAGAATTTCTTGGAAATTAGTTTGTAATCTAATGCCTCGAACAATGCCAGGGTTCGCAATTGGGCTGCAACATTTTGAGCAAAATAATGGAATTCGCCGTATTTCATCTGTCTATTTATAGCAGAACTTATATTCTCCAAATGATCGAGAGCATAGTGTAATCGGTTCTTCTTGTAAGCTTTTTGTACGCCGTGTTGATGTGTTACTAGATGAAAGCGATTGTGGTCGGTCTTCCGTAGTCAAACTAGGCAAGGGTGATGGCAAGTTCACTGACAGGGCGTCAACCGGTTTGAATTTGAAGCAGCATACTTGATTGTGAATGTTGCAATGACTACATTCTGTAATAAAATATATTTTCAGAGGAATTTATCAAAAATACTCTGTATTTTATTTCTTTTATTACAGTTTCCGAGCCATGAAGGCTGGAAACGCATTGAACGTACTCATAGCATTATACTCCAGGCAATAGTTGATGACGACAATTGTTTTTCATACGTAAATGTTGGAACTAATGGAAGAGCTTCTGATGGAGGTGTTTATCAACAATCGAATTTAGCACAAGCCTTGAAAAATAATACTAGCAATTTACTGAAGCATTCAGTTGTTGTGACATATCTTGCGAAGCTCTATCGCAGAACTCAACGCATAAAGAAAAAATATTTAACTACCAGTTATTGAGAGCTTAACGAATCGTTGAAGATGCGTTTGGTATTTTAGAAATAATAACTTCGAGTTCTTCTGAATGCCTTAGATATGGCCCCCAAAAATATTAGCTACTTGATCTTTACACAAATGGCTACATCACTCATAGTTGCGTCGACTTTGAAGATATACAACAACGTGTTGTGATACCGGGAGCATTAAGGACACAACTGCGGAGAGCCCTTACCACGTACACGCTTCAGTAATCACGCTTCTCAACAGGCAGAAGCAATAAGAGACGCTTATGCGCAGCTTTTTGGAACTACAGATGCAGTACCATGGCAAGACCATTTGATATAAATTATTAGGTATAAAATCAACATACCTATAATAATAAATACGAAACAATTAATAAATATGTCGTACCAAGAATTAGGTGCATTTTTGTTTGCTTTAATAGATTCCCTGTAGTCGCCAGTGTCTCCAAGGAAAGAATTTATATCGTGAAGCCACGGCATGAGCAGGTTGTATCCGAACCTGATCTCTGGGAATTCTCAATTTTTGTCAATTCACTGTGGTAAACAGACCTTCAGTTTTTAATTTTTGCCAAAGGTCCATGTTGGCTAATAAATCTTCAAATGCATTTGTTATTGGAATATTATTTTTCTATTGTGGTGATTTCGGACTCCATAGGCTTTCATTGTTGCGATATAAAATCACAAATTTCAACGTCTTTTTTTCACCTCAGCGAGACATTTTGAGCGCAAATCGTACAAATACAGAAACAATAACTTACACACCTTCTACTACAAATACACAAACAATAACTGACACACCTCCTACTACACCTACACAAACAATGACTTCCATACTTCCTACTACAAATACACAAACAATGACTTCACAGTTCCTTCCGTATCATCTCAACAAGATAATAACGTCGAACCCGAACAAGAAAATTTGTTGACCAAAGCATGGGAAATGTTAAATCAAAGCATGGAAATCGTGTTAGATTTAGTACCTACTTGATATTTTCAAACAATAAATACTTGATCTGCACTTTCATAGAACTTCTTACTTTACGTACCCGCAAATAATCCTTTAGAGCATTGTTTTTTTCTATACTCCAACTAGTACCAAGGCCTAAGGCCTAAACACCCATTGGGTACCGTGGGGCTATAGGGGGATACAGGGGAAAGGGGGAACGCCACTCGGACTCCGGCGAGGGAACACGTGTGCATGCAACATGCACACATTCTGGCTCCGCCTACGAGATCGCCGGGTGGTACCTCCGCGTTCGACAGTCCGAGACCCGCCTATCACCTACGGACAATCACAACATCCATAGCCAAGAGAAAAATTTCTCCTGGGACGGGATTCGACCAGCACAGCGCACGGCGACTGATCAGGAGGCCGAACAGTCTACTACTGCGGCCACCGCTGCTGCTGTATATTGCATTACACACTTCAGGTAGAAATTGAGCTATAGTAGATCTTGAAACTCTGTGAAGTGCTTCCAATATCTATAACAAATCTTCAGTTGCTAGATATCTCGATGTAAATCCTAATTTCACTTTTGCTGGAATAGCATTTCGCATGTATCTTGCTCCTGTATATCGCTTTCAATTTTAGATAGTAATTCGTCAACTGATGCAGAAGTAGCCATCATTGTATTCTTCTCGCAATTCTACAGCAATCGAATACTTACTCCAAGGTTTTCTCGTCTCGTTAGTGAATGACGAACCCAAATCGTCCTATTCCTCCTTGTTTCTTTCTTAGTAGCAGCAGTTTTTGGATGCATTGTATTACAATTAAAATGTTGACTTTATTCAATTCTCTGGAGAGGGTCACTTGGTTTTCCATTTTTTACTAGCTGCACTTAAAACACAGACTGGAAACACTGACGGAGAGCTTACTTTTAAATATCATATGTGTCCGGGGCATTTGCTTTGGGCAAGATTGAGAAGAGCAGGCTTTTATCAAGCATGCTAAGCACAAGCAAATGTATCAGTTTGAAGAACATGCTATTTTTAAGCATGCTATTTTATGAGCAAGTGGATCTCTACCTTTATTATTGTTACTACCGTGTTCATTTTGTGTTCAGGTTTACCATACCTATTTATTTCCTTATAATTTTCAACGAACAACAAACTCATGGTCAACTAAGGAAATGTATTTCAATCAGCGTATTCTACCTAAAGAACGCCAACCTAATATTATATTCTCGCATCCAAAAATTATCCGATGTGATGTGAGCTACCGTAGAGTCATCTAAGAGAATTTGTCACAGCTATGCTTCTACTTCTACGCACTAATTAGAAATATACTTTTAAAAGGGTAGTGTCTCATAAATGGCGATGTAGCCAACTACATTAGCATATAGCCTATATTTGGCTACATTGCCATCTATGAGACACTAACATTTTCAAAATACATTTGTAATTAGTGCGGAAAGGAGAAACATAGTTATGACAAATTCTCATAGATGGCTCTACGGTGCTTCATTTCATCTGTAATAATTTTTTGGACACGGGAATAAAGTATTAGGTTGGCTATCATCCTGTAGAATACGTTAGTAACAATATTCACCTCTGTAATTCACAAAATCTTTCTTACTTTTGGAAAAACTCGATAGCTTTTGACGTTGCTCCAATATATGCTGTCCTACCATCAGCTATGAGTATCAGTTGAGTGAACATAGAAAATATATCCATCGAGGGCTGGTGAATGGTGCAAACTATTGTGGTTCTTTCTGATGCCATCTTGCTCATAATGCCTACTAACTTCTGAGCGGAGTAAGAGTCTAGGCCTGTTGTTGGTTCATCGCAAAATAGTAATGGCGGATCTATCAAGATCTGTAAGCAATAAAAAATGTACTTTATCGTGTGTCAGGCAATATAATGCGGATATGTTGTAGTTTCTTTATGTGCGTCTTGAATTGATTGACAATCTTCTGGGAGCAAAGAAACGGCCATACCAGTCAGTTGTAATAGAGGAAACCGATGGATATGCAAGAATAACAATATTTGATCACAGAAGGGCGAGGAAGATATTGTATTTATATATCGGTTGAAAGCAGTGTGAAATAAAGGAAGAAGTTCGAATGATGATATTTATGCTTTTACCTCTGTTGCAAATGCTAATCGTTTTTTCTCACCACCTGATAGCGCTTTGTTTTGGTCGGTACCACCAATTTTACTGTGAAGACATTTCAACAGACCAAGCTCGGTTAATATGTTTAAGATTTTCTGGCGTTTATCGTCTCTTGTTAGTCTTCTATCTAGTTTGAGATTTGCCTGGAAACAACACTTTAACATTAATATATCTCTTAGGCCCATATCGTCAGTCGCCCTACAATTGTAGGGCGCGTTTATGGCCTCCTTGATTGTCATACTCCTTTCTCTCCTTCAAAAATTTCTAGATTACACTTGTCCCGTGTCAGCGTCAGCGCTCTCCTATTGTGAAGATATGTTTTCTTTTTAAATTGTAGGAAATTGCAGGTTGATAAAACATGATATAACTCAAAAGCAAGCACAATTTGATGCAAATAGATGTTTGTGACATAACCTCAAAATAGAGCGCTGACACGGAGAAGTAGAAAACTATGACAATCAAGGAGGCCATAAAGGCGCCATACAATTGTAAGGATGACTGACGATACGGGCCTAAGGTAATATGATGACATCTCAAATTGACGTCAAGTAGGTTGATTCTGCACTTTCCACGCACGCGGTCATCAGTTCTTAAAGGATGTTCAGCAAATTGGTCCCTCTGAGAAAAAAGGTAGCTACGAACATGCATATTTAGAGAAATTAACCGGATCAAATCAGTCAAACAGGACCATACAAATAGTCCATAGACAATCTTTCCCTGACCTACGGATATTACACTCCATCTGGCAACGTGGCCTCTTTTCGACACCTGACGGCACCACGTGTCAGACGCGGCAGCACGGCACCTCGGCAGTAATGAGAGGGCACTTACCAAGACTGGCACTCCCGCCGGTGAACGCAGAGAGTGGAAGTAGGGTCGCGTATCGAAAGCGTCTCTCCATAAGTTTTAAGGACAAATGTACGGAAAGATCAATGATATGTAAAATATGTTTAATAGGTGCGTAGAATTACCGAGGTTGGCAGCTTATAGGTATACTGTTATCAAAAATATGGTATATATCATCCCCCACCCTCCGCAACCCTCCACCCTCCAGTTATTTGATTCCCCTAAACATTTTTCAATAATTATCAGGATCCTTTGAAACGTGAAAAAATAAAGTTAGAACAATTTGAATTTTTTTCACTGGCCGAGATTCAAGCTAAAAAGAATTAGGTTTTGGTATAACAGTAATCTTGCGTAAAAATGTTATCCAAATCCAAGCAGTACTTTCCAAGCTATAGGGGGGCCTAGGAGTAGTGGACAGACAGACGGACAAACCGACAGTCAGACAGACGGAAATGAGGAACATGGTTTTTCGTGATGTACATGTCATGTAAAATCCAAAAAACATATCTACCTCATTTTCGAAAATTTTAGCGATTACAATACTTCCTCGCCAGTAGGCGTAAAATGAATATAACAGATACATACATATGTTTTCTTCTCAACTTTGGGAATACAGTAAAAGAATACGAATAAATGTAGCATCTTCTTACCATAATTGTCATGTGTTCCAACACAGTTAAATATGGTATAAACATATCTTCTTGATGCATATAACCGCTCAGGTACTTCATGTAATCGTCTATCTTCCTTCCATTGATAATCATGTCCCCTTCAACCACTAGCTTTGCTGACAAAAAATATGAATGCAATTTCAATGAGACCAAACTTTATAAAGTTAAGCCGTTAGCTAATTATGTTTTCGTCGTTTTACCAGTAAATGTAACTTCAGATGTTTAATAAAAACCCATTTTTCGAACCATAACTTGAAAGTTAAACTCCCGAAACATTGTTCGCATACATTATTTAAAATAGAGAATATTCTCAGTTGAAAAAGAGGTGTACTGAATATGTTTAAAAACAAGACATTATACGTACCACTATTTCTGTATCCTAAAACGGACATAAGTGTACTCTTACCAGCACCACTGGAAAAAACATTTTGAATGAAAAACCTCAAAACAGCTGTTATACGATACATACCTTGCTCCCATTAGTGCTACAAGACTGCCAGCCTTAACTGCCCCAGACACTGTAAAAATATTTTTTAAATCTAGCTTGGAAAAGGTATCAAATAGATTGACTCTACACTTCCTACGCAACGGCATCATTAGTTCATAAAGGATTAAGTTTGGCACAAGTTAAGCCCTCTGAGAAACAAAAAAAGCTACGAACATGTACAACAGAGAAATTAAACGAATCAAATCAATCAAACAGGCTCATACAATTATTCCATAGATATTCCTTCCCTGCCCTACCTGTAGTTGTCGTCCATCTGACAATATAATCCGACGCAGAAGCGCCTACCACGACATCGCTGCAGTACGATCATAACAGTCAACCTGACCGGATAGCAGTCACAAACGTACGGGATAGCCGTTGTTGTGTGAAATATGACTAATAGATAAAATTACCGGGGTTGGGAGCGTATAAGCATATTACATCAAGAAATTGAGATATACTCACCCACCCCTTAAAACCCTCAATTTTTAAACTCTACAAACATTTTTCTGAAAATTATCAGACGCTCCTGAAACGCCAAAAAACGAAGCTTACGGGTTTATTTGTTTCTTTTCGCGTCGTAACGTCGAGCTCTGCCGCCACTGAACCGATTTTCAAAAAAGCGTTTTGGACCTAGGCATAGTAGTTACCTTACGTGGAAATTTCATCCATACACCTATAAACGGGCTAGGGATTAGGGGACAGACAGATAGGCTGATGGAAATGAGTGACCTGGTTTTTCGTGATGAACACGTCATATATAAGATACAAAAACCATAATATTTCATTTTCGAAATTTTCCCCGATTATATTTCCTCGCCGTGGCGTAGAAAGTAAAAAATAACAATGACCGCGATAATCAGATAGTCTCAAAAAAAGGTTGATAAATAATGTTAATACATGCAACCTACTATCATTAATGATCCTCTTGTAATTAGTTATTCCACGTTTTTTGATTTTTGCGTAAATAGTGAGATTGTTCCAAGCCAACGTAACTCCTTCGTCCACTGGTGACCATCTGGAGTAACTTCTGGACCTTTCTCTAAACGAGTCAATCGACGCCTGCATTTCAGATTCAATCTGCAACAAACAAAAGCTAGTGTTCATAAAGTAAGATACTTTGATAATATTATTATTATCCAATGGTAAATTGAGTTGTATTATTTTTCCTTGTCTCTGGATTGGCATCCATGGTTCACCTACTATGATTTTATTCAGAATGTGTTTTCTGTGTATTTAAATTTTAAAAGGAAACCATTCCTCTGGAATTTGTATGCCGTTCCACGCTCGCACAAATAAGTCAATAAAGTTGTAACATGATATACAGACAACGCTGGAAAAAAGCTATCGGGTATTTGATACTGATACGGCCTTATTCCTCTACATTCATATAAATAGATATACCCGTTTCAACCTTATAGGTTATTATGAGCTTTGAATGACGTAAGAAATTAAGAAAGACTGGTTCTCGAAAATCAATAACATATAAACCCTTTGGAATAAGAGTTACCCAAAAAAATCTAATTCTAACCTGAAGCGATCTTTACCAACAAGTATGTTCTTGTAGCGGTTGAACTTTCTTTGAGCATCATTTAGTACGAACGTATTTTGTCAAATATGTGTTTTCTGTATAGGAATGCATTTCCCCAAAGACTGGTTTGGAGCACCGCTCTCAAATTTGGAGAGCTGCTGTCACGATTACGCTGTTCATATACTCCAAGCAAATTGCAGCAATGCCTCAAAACTGTTAAATATGGATCGTTTTAAATCTACTTCATAAACTAACAGCTTTCAATGAAACTGGACCGGAAAAAGATACATTGGTATAGACTGTATTTTAATCATAGACTCACGAAGACCATTCATGCTGCAAAATATTTTAATGAGTTGTTTTAGATCATGCAATTAGTGCGCGCATTAGTAGATATACACGGATATGGAAAAAATCGACGTTTAATTCTGGCACAAAATTAAATTGGACCAGTACCTAGATGATGTGGTTCCAAAGAGAACAATTAAACGTTCATGTCCAGCCTGCCCCAAAGAAGAATCTAAGACCGACCCTTACAACTCCAGGCGTATAGCTGTGAAGTAAACTCATCCAGTCATATAGTGAGGGCTCATGGGGTTGATCTCAATATCACAAAAGCTATTGATCAACTGTGACATACTGTCATCTTATGCAAACCCCCATTCGATGGCCTCCCAGAGAAGCTTAGCAGATGAGTGGTTGACTTCCTCTCTGGCCGCAAGATAACCGTCGTTATGACGAGTTTTTCTTTTTATCCCACAATGTCAATGCGGGTGATCCCCAGAGATCGGTCGTGGTTTCGACATTGCTTCCATTATCATCAACGACCTCATTGCCTTTACGATCAGTCCGATTCACAGCTTTACTGGTGACAGCACTGTTCATGCTGGCACTTAGAGTGCCAAGCCGATCTTTGCCGATAAGCTGGAAAGAAGAAAACTAGCAGCGGATTTTTCTCCGGCGCGATATCTGAAGGTTATCATTGCCTAGGGACACAGCAATCTGGTACATTTTAATACTTCCAAAACACAGTACTGTACCTTGAGTAACAAGAAGCGCACCAGCGCTCATCCTTTCGATGGATGGCCGAGTTCTACTAAAGAGCCGTTCATTTCAGCTGGCTGGAGTCCAGATCTACGTTTTTCCACATAACCTCCTCACTCTGTACAAGACCCAGATAAGACCTAGCCGCGAGTACTGCTCATATACTTGAGTTGCTGCCTCCCGACTACATTGTACATGCTCGATAATGTTCAGAGGAGGTCTGCCTGATCTCTACTTTAACAGTCTCAGGATGTTCCCCTACCGCTATGTCAACGGGTCTTACTCCTCAGACCTCTCCTCCATGATGCCGCCGCGCTATGAGCCTGCTAGAAAGTATCGTCTGACTTCGTCCCCTTTCCTAACCGTGTCGAACTTCGTACAACGAGAACTGGCTGGTGTGACCGCTCTTTTGTCCATAAAATGTCGAGATTATGAAACAATCTGCCTGAGAAGGCTTTTTGCAGTTTTACTAACCTTAGGCAGTTCAAAAAGCTCCTTATAGCAGCTGCGCTGTTCCATTACTTAGGCTTCTGCCTAAGCAGCTGCTTCACTATAAACAAAATCTTAATGCGTACTAAAAACGTCATAATTCCAAAACGCTGTCTGACTGACATTTTCTGACATCAAATAAGCCTTTAAAGAACGAACTATAGTACTATTACTCACGTCAGAGTCTCCATTCAATACGTCCAACTGGGTTTCCTCCATTTTTCACACACTCACATCGGATTACCAAAAAAAAATGAGGGCACTATAAGAGACTACAATGACACAACTTATTTACTGTTAAACAAAACATCTCTGGGACGTTCGTATCAAAATAGCTTATCTTAATGCCCAAAGCAAATATTAACATGATTGCAGTAGTTGTAAACAAAGGTTTTACCAGAATGAAGAAATATGTATGATACAGGTATGTGAAACTTAATCTGGTTTACCTCCCTTCCTTGTTCATAGTCGGAGCTGGTTCGATTCCTAACGGGATCATTTCAGGTTTCAGGTTTCTGAAATACTTGGCACGACACCACACAGAGAAAAATAGTTAGGTAAATTCGGTTTTTCATATCTCGTATTCAAGAAATTGCAAAGCCAAAGCTTTAGCTATTGAGATATTAAAAAAGCTTGTGAAGATTTCTTTTAGATAAATATAGCATGGCTGAGTTGGAGCGTAAGCAGAAGCTTAGCAAGCTGCCTTAACAGACGAATCTTCAAAAAAGTTTGAAGATGAAAAGTATTTGTTAGCTCTAAACAGATCTCTCAGCCTCTTCCCAGCGTCTGTGGTAGTTTCAGCAGGGTCGCCGTGGCTCCCCTCAGAATCCAGTAGCCTCCTGAAATATGTATATTTAGGATAGCTTTATATATCTACCATATTTAATGTCTTTAAGATTTGTCCCTTCCTGTCTGAGAATATTTTTTTCCTGCAGCTTTTCAGAAAACTTTCGTAATATACAAAAGCTTTCCTCTTGCCGAAGTATGATGCAGAAAGCCGTCATCCTTGGTTCCTTCCATCTACTTAGAGCACACGATTTAAATTTAATGGAACACCAGCTTGGTGTGTCGGAGCCCAGGTTGCCTATTTTACTTTTCTTTTCCGTCATACAATAATAAATATAATAATGATAATAAATATAATAATAGCAATAATAATATTAATATTAGTTATAATAATATATTTACAATTTTAATACATAGTTTCAAGGAGCAACAAAAGGTTAGTGTCCTTGTGCGTGGCTGTAAATAATCTAATAGATCTTAAAACCCAGAAGTATAAACATTAGATCTATTCAAAGATAACTAGGTATAGTCAACGCCAAACAAAGTGGCGTGCACGTCATCACGATAAAAATTCCCCGACCTAATGCCTAGGTTTCTATCACAAACAATTGCTCTATTGCAGTTTCATATTAATGTGATATATAAATTGTAAAATGGTCATTACTCTCTTATTATGGTTAATAGTCATATAAACATTGTTATTAAAATATCACATAAGTTGCTTTCTGATAAATTTAGACGCATTATGCGAAATAAAATGTTTTGCAAACGCTCCAATCACTTATCGACATGTAAACGCACTAAACCGATTTCGCAGCGTTGACACATTGTCACCTTGAAACTTATTTAAACTGGGAACTGACATTTGCATTAATTTTGACACTGAATCAATTTGTGGCATTTCAAATCTTTATAAATCCTTTGGCCCCGCATACTGTAAATCAACAACTGTTTGTTTCAAAACAAATTATTCATTTTACGAGTAGATAAAGGCAATTTTGGTATATAAAGATGCCCAAACAGTTAAATAGTCGGTGTAAGGAACTCGTGGCCTCGTTAATGCACTACTTTGAGCAAGAAAGGGACAACAACGGGCCTTTGTTGCCTTTAAATGCTGTTCAAGAGGTAGGTTACTAATAATTATATGTAATGTATATTAATAATAGTGAAATTTTATTTCATTTTTTGTAGCGTGTTGTTGCTGCTTTAAAAATTAGTTTAAGGACAGTTAGTCGTATTTCCGAGGGTGTGAAAAGTGATGCAAATTTAGAATCGCCCAAGAAAAAGTGGAGTTATATTAAACGTGTAACCTAAACAGCGACATTGGATACAAGTGCCATTCGAGAAGTGATCTATAATATGTATCACAAAAGTAAGATCTTATTATAATAACTTATCAGAAATTTGCATTAATTTGTTAACTAAATTATAATGTCATATTACACATGGTTTCAGAAGAACAAGTTACGATACAAACTTTATGGTCTCGATTAAGAGATAGGGCATTATTTGATGGTAGTGCCACGTCTTTAAGGCGGTTGCTTAGAGATCTTGGATTTAAGTGGCTTAAGGACAATCCGCGACGAGGGCTCATGGAACTACCAAGTATAGCTTTGAAAAGGGTGGAATTTCTAAGGCAATACAATCAAGCCAAGGTTGAGGCCTTATACCAGTTTGTCTTCCTCGATGAAACTTGGATATTTCAAAATGGGACCATAGGTCGCTCTTGGCAAAATGGAAACCAAAAAAGCGTGAAAGCTATTAAAACAGATGGTAAAAGGTATGTACTTTTACACAATTTGCACTATAAAATTTAAAACTAATATATTTTAGATACATTATATTACATGCTGGAAATGAAAATGGGTTTATTGAGGGTAGTGAAGCGATATTTTCTTCGAAACAAAATTGAGCGATTACTATGGAGAGATGAACCAGGGCAATTTTTTGAAATGGTTTCAACATCAGTTATTAGAAAAATTGGAGAGTCCATCTATGATTATACTGGATAACGCCCCTTATCACAGCATGATATTGAACAAAGTGCCCAACAATGCATGGACAAAAAAAAATATCCAAGACTGGTTGACAAATCAAAACATACCATTTTTAAACACAATGTTTAAAACAGAGCTATTGAGTATTGTTGCTCGGTACATAATGCTTCTTAATTATATATATTTTGGTCGACAGTTTATATTTCTTTTGTTTATTCCTATTCTTAAAATAACTGCTTTTTTAGAAACAAACCACCTAAAATATACGTGATTGATGAATTGGCGGAACAACATGGGCACAAAGTTCTTCGTCTGCCTCCTTACCATTGTATATTTAACCCTATTGAGTTAATTTGGGGCATAGCAAAAGGTTACTATAACAGACATATTGGTAGAGATGGTAACAGTGAAAAAGACTGTTTGGATATGTGGAACGAGGCTCTACAAACGGTTACCCCAGACATGTGGAAAAATAGTGTTCGACATACTGAGCAAGAAATTTTTAAATGGTATGAAAGAGAACGAATTTTTGATCGACCAGACATCGAACCTTTAATAATCAACTTTGAGAGTGATGAAGATTCAGATTCAGACAGCGCTGAAGAAAGAAACTCCGACTAACTTTATTGTACAGAAAAAGCTTACACCCAGTAGCTTACCTAATTTTAGAATGCATTTTTCTGTATGAATTCTGTAAAATAAATACCATGCATAAAATTTGGAGGACCCCATTTGGATTTTATTCAGTACCTTTAAGCTATCAATTAAATATGGTAGTTTCATAGTGTCATCTGATCAATAATTGTCATACTTAATGATTATGCAAGTACAGATCTATAATTTTATTATACTATTATTTTTGTTCTCATTTGAGGTTAATATTGCTTATAAACCTAGATATGTAAATAATAAATTTTATTATTTTACAAAAAGTTTGGCAACAATGTAAATTTTTCAACACACCCACCTTGATGACGTGCACGCCACTTTGTTTGGCGTTGACTATATATAAGATGATTTTTTTGTAATTTTTTATGTAATTGTTTATATAATCTTAAAAAGTTTATTATTTCAGTTTGAGTGAGTAATAATAATAATATATGTCTCTATTGCATCATTAACATCACAGCATAACATTAAACGGTATGAAGCAAATGTCGGAGTCTAGCCATTGGCCAATCTACTCAACCAATATTTGGAAATATATAAAAAAGTCTTAATTAATTATTTACTATATTATATACTATAAGCTATTATAATATTGTCTTTTACTTGATACTTGATGAAGTATCAAATGCTTATAAAATATTGTATTAGTGTACAATATATTCAAGAACCAACAACCAAAACTGTGTTACTGTGTTTTTAAAACATTTTGTTTTAAAAGTGACTTAAATTTATTATGATTTGCTGTATTCCCATATCCTAATGTATTATAGTATTTATATATTTATATGAGTAACAGCGCTGAGACATGGCTGTGCGATGACTTGGTATGGATAATATGCTCATATATCTTAAATTTAAATCATGAATTCTTGTTCTCAACGTAGTGGTGAATGAGTAGTTATAATAAATTTTACATGATCATATTTGCTTAGATTATTAGTCAACGGGCAACGAGAGTTTAATTGTTTGTAGTCTGTAGGCAAACATTTGATCTAAGCAATATATGATCTCAAATAAAATTTTGGAAATAATTAACGATTCACATAATCGCTTTTTTGTTTTAAAACGGAGGTAGTGCCTGTTGATATATAATACTTTCAGCCTAAAATACGAGTAGCATGTTTTGATAACGCTGTTAACATACGTCTGAAAACGTAGGTCTTCGTCCATAAGTAGACCCAGACTTTTGCATACATGATTGAATTCCAAATCTGTGCTGCTTATTTTGAGGTTCAGACTTGCTTTTAGAAGTCTCGGTTTTTCTTTCTTGCAAAATAGTACAACATTTGATTTTTGAGAGATTTATTATCCAATATTTAGTTCTTTGTTGTGGTATATGCATGGGTGTCCATATAGCTAAATTCAAGGAGGAGCACATTGGTGGGCTCAAAATTCATGTCTAACAAGATTTCCATCTTGGTGTGGGGAGGGGTAATTTTAGATTTGTGTGGACACTGCGAGTGACATCGGGTATACCAAAATCTTATAAAACCTTAATGATGGATTTTTACAATAAATTTCAACTTTGGAGTTGCTATTTTACGGGATACAGTAGAGAAGCTTGGTGGATTTTAACACATGACGTTTCTGTAGATTTGTTTGAAGAGTGTGAGTGACAGGCCAACGGCTTGATGGATTTTGATAGCACAATTGATTCTCCATTTTTTTTCAGTTACTGAATTCGGATTATTTGTACTTTTTAAAAATGTACATGTATGTCTCTTTCTTTATGCGCCTGAGCACCAAGGAGGGGGTACAGTTTCACCATTCAAATCTAGCAAGGTAATTTTCACGGGTGTGTTGAAAACCAAGAAAATATACACGTCACTCATTGCTCAAAAATCGAGTACCCTATTACCCTCAAGCGGAAGCCAAGGGGGCATATGCCCTCCTTGTCCCTCTAATGGCCGCCCATGGGTATATACACGTACTAGTATATGAGTGGACTTGACGGACAACAATGATGGGTCAAGAATTCAATATTCTTTATTAAATATAAATATTTGAAATAAGCGTAATACTGGTGAATCACTTGTAAGATCGCCAAAGCAAAGCCAAAAATGCAGCAAGCCTGAAGACCATAATCAGTAGGGCCAATGATACGATGTCCCAAAGAAGATGTGCCTAGAAAAGATAGATAAATAGTAAATACGTAGCACTAGATGCGTGACAGTATTTCAGAGCCATCTTGAATTTTGTAAATTAATACTTGGAGATATCTATGATCGCCTTTGAATAATAATACGAAAGCAAATATCTCTAAAGCGACTTTTCCACTAATTCGATTTTGCACCTCTGAGAAGTTGAACATCTGTAGGATGACTTGACCATTTTGAGGGCAAGCAGGAGCATTACTGCAGTCGATACGAGTGATGTTACTCCATTGGTTAATCATCAATGCTTCATTCCCATAACGAAACCAAGAGAGGTATGACAACCATTTGAAATACACTGGTATTGAGCTAAAATTAAAATAATGATAATTACATTATGATTTCATACACTCAAGATCTAACACCACATAAAGGTAAGTTGAATTATATGTTCCGGCCTCGTCTCGTTAATAAAACAGGTGCAGATATCAAAGCTAGATGGAACAACATACTACTAACGCTCTTCATAGTAAACGATAGATTGTATACCACACAAATTGTACACAATGCATGTGTCAACAGAATCCACTCGTTTCAACACAGATTTTCTAGAAATGCACATATTGCCACAACATTTAAATTTAGCTTTTCTAGAGAATTATGTAGAAAATGTGTTAGATTATGTCCCGTTAGCAAGGAGAGTACGAATGTGGTATCAGCACGACGGTTCCCCACCGCACGCATGTTCGTCGTGATATAACCGCGTGGTTTAAATAATCATTTTAGGCAACGATGGATTTGCAGAAACGGACATTGGCCTGCGAGGTCTCCAGATTTGAACCCCCTGGATTTCATTTTGTGGGGCTCTTGTCTGCTCAACTGTTGATCACTTACAAGAAAGAATAGATAATGCGTCTCATTAAATTCAAGCCACAACAAATTTTGCGGAAATACGTGTTTCTTTATTAAAAGGATGCCGCACTTGTATCCGTCAGAATGGTGGTCTTTTTGAACATTTATTGAAATAAAGCTTTGAGTATCTAATTTGTTTTTTTTTTATTTTTACGAAAACGATGCACTATAAGAAAAAGCACAAGACTAATTATTTGTAGCAATTTAAGCACTGGTGCAGGTTAATTTTAATAAAGACTTTTGAATGCGGACAATACTTAGTTAAATCCACATTCCAAATTTTTGTTCATTCCAGTTGACGGTTCTGAAGATATTAAAAAAATGTATATTATTTTTAAACGTCAACACCCCGTATCTTTCTAATAAAGCCCTTGAGGAAAAAATGTTACATAGAAGACCCCCTTAAAGTGCGGTCCTACGAGCCCCTTCCCACTTCAGTTGGCCCACTGCAAGATTTGTACCAAAATATGCCTTTATGACGAAACTATTTACTTCTAATAAAACAATTTATTTTCTCAAAAACATTTTAGATTCACTCTAGTCGTAAAAAATACATATTTGGAATCACTTAGACCTATAACTAATAGAACATCTGAACAAATAATCAATGTGCGCATAAATGCGCGAAGTTAACAAAGCAACAATAATTGAAAGATTACCATTGGGTAACATCACCTTTTTTTTATTACGGCTGAAATTCTTTGGGGCATAGTGTTAACCTAAGTTTTGGCAACAATTTGGTGTAAAACAATCCCATATTTCTTGAAGCTTTTGTCTCAGTTCGGTGATTGTATGAGCAGGATGTTGTCGTAGAACCTTTTTCATCTCATGCCACAAAGTTTCAATAGGTGACAGATCTGGATTGCTAGAAACCCATTTCAAAAGTGGTACATTATTTTCTTCCATCCATTTTATAGCCTTTTTTGAGGTATGGCACCCTGCACCATCTTGCTGAAACCCAAAATCTTGGCCGGATGTCAAACATTCTTCCATCACTGGTAAAAGTGATTCTTCTAAAATTGCCAAATATTTGTTTGTATCCACATTTCCATCTATAAAATGAAGTTTTCCTACTCATTTTGATGACGTACTACCCTAGACCATAATGGATTCTGGAAATTTCACTTTTCTTTTCAGACAGTCAACATGGAATGCTTCATTTTTTTGCGAATAACTCTACTGCGACTGTCACCAACACAAACTTCGAATCGGGCCTCATCACTCCATTGTATTGCACACCATTGTTGAGGTGTCCATTGTCTATGTTCTTTAGCCCATCTAAGCCGCTTTTTCTTTTGAGTGGAGTTAATAGTATCTTTTCTTTGGCCTATAAACAAGTTGTGCAACTTTAGGGTTTTTACTTCACTTTTTTTATAAGAAAACTTACCTTGCAAGTGCTAAATCTCAGTTTGTGGGCCTCTCGATGAGTTGTGGACCTCTAAATTCTCCTTCCAACAGCGTCACTCCACAGAGCCCTTAATTGTAAATAATTGGCACGGTTGTTTTTCACGATTCTTCTTAATGCTCTTCGATCGGCATTTGTGATATTACTTTTTTTCACATATCGTGGCTTTATATTAACTGCACCAGTTACGTTATATCTTCTAACTATATTTCTCACACTGTACCGCGATAAGTCTAACAAAGTTGCAATTTCTGAGTTGGATTTCCCAGAATTAAAAAGTTTAATTATCAGTAACCGAATTTTCTCACTAATAATCTTTCCTCTACCCATTTTGAAAACCTTAACTACCCAAAAATAGGTTGATATACTGTAATTGCAACATGAGTTATTTTTATGCTGCAGATTTGATTAGGGAGTGATGAAGTTGGTGTTTTCTACTATAGATTATCAAAATATTCATTGTTAATATTTTAAACCTATAACACCATGCTACATTTTTATTATATGTGTTTGATAAGAAAGAAACTAAGATTTCAATAGTTGGGCCAACTGATATTCCATTCCATTGTTGGTCACGACTTGTAAATCCTGTATAGTGGTATCAGAGGCACATTGATAAAGTTTCTTTATAGTGACAAACAAATACTTTGGCTGCACAGACAGTTTTTGGCGTAAAATACGGTAAAACTAACCGAATATCTACAGAGGTCACCAGCAACCCCTCTAGTTAATTGAGAACAGCCATAGTATCTCAAGTGGGGTTATATTTCGGTTGAGATGGTCTCAACCTTTAAACGCCCTCCAAAAACCATCTATAGCAAATCAAACAATTATATCTAAGTCTCTTATTAAACTATAAGGTGAGAAATTTCAAGCTAGGAAAACACATACATTTGTTCCCGACAAAGGTCCTACCGTAATCTAAGCCCACAATCACGTGATTGATTTTAGGTGCTGATCGGAATGACAGCTTTCCAGATACAATAACCTGGAAAAGCTTTAGAATTAGTGGGAGCGGGGTCCTGGATCGCTCCACCAGATCTTTGCGGTACTTCTAGAACCCAAAATCAGGACGGTGAAAGGTGGAGCTCCCACTCCGTTTCCATCTCCCTCCGACGCAAAAACAGTGTTACTCATAGATTTTAGATTTGTCGCGATGGCAGTAAGATTGCTCTCTTTACACTACCGCCATAGCTCACCCGCAACCTGGTCCAGCGTGGACACTACAAGGTCCCCATTCTGCTGACGTAAGATATAGTTGTCGCACTGTTAATCAATGGGGTATAATACTCGACAGCAAGTCTCGCATGGATGTATGTACCTAATCTCTTATTAATAAAAAATGGTACTTCGGCGGTTTCCTAACCAGTCTGAGTGCATTCGTACAATCCTGTTCCATGGTTATTACAAACCAGGTGGAATTTTCTGTCACAAGCAAAATGTAACGCTAACCTCGCATAAGGTACCTAATCTCTATTTGGTAATAAGGAAAAAATATACCTTGGCGGTTTCCTAACTTGTCATGTGCATCTTTACAACGCTGTTCTAATGCCTATCACAAAACCAGTCGAATTTGCTATAACAAGCAAAATGTAACGCTAATCTCGCATAAGGTACTTAATCTCTATTTGGTAATAAGGAAAAAATATACCTTGGCGGTTTCCTAACTTGTCATGTGAATCTTTACAACGCTGTTCTATGCCTATCACAAAACCAGTCGAATTTGCTATAACAAGCAAAATGTAACGCTAATCTCGCATAAGATACCTAATTTCTATCTGCTAATAAGGTAAAAAAATACCTTGACGGTCTCCTAAGCTGTCATGTTCAAATATGGAGTCATATTCCATTGTTATCACAAACCAGGTGGAATTTGCTATCACAAGCGACTTTGTTGCTACGTTGTCCCAAACGCTTCCAGTGTTACTGTTTGTCTTAGGATCTTAGCCATCATAAGCTAAGTACAAGTTACCATCACAACAACGGAGTTCAGTGTTGAGTCGTTATCCCGATCATCTTAGTTCGTCCTTGGTGTTGAGCTGGCTATCGCAAGCCAGCTCCACGTTGCCATCCCAAGTTACCGAGTCCAATGTTTTAACGTTATCCCAAACGTCGTCCTTGGTATGGAGTTGGCTATCACAAGCTAGGTCCAGGTTGCCATCCCAAGCACTATAGTCCAGTGTCGGAGCATTGTCCCAAACGTCGTTTCAGAACGGACAGATTAGTCGCTTCAGAAAAAGGGGCCGGCACGCAACTTTCTGATTCGACTATTCGTTTGGTGATGCACGTATGACGCGCTGCTCCGCGACGAAAGGGACCCTGGTGGTCACATTTCGTTGGCGTCCCGCCGACAATGCACATCATAATAATCGCTCCAGTTGTCTAATATTTTTGTTCAGCGACTGCTCGTATGCGAAGCTGTTCCTTTGAAATTTCTTGTGTTTGGGCTCCTCGACACTGCTGAAAACATAAAAATCGGTGAGCGAACTAATAACTCGATGACTGTAGCGCAGGACGAGAATAAGGAATCAGAGTTTGTTGGCCAGGGACCGGAGAGGAGGATGGTGGGATCGCGCGGTGAGCCACTTTTCTTCGCGTGGTGAGCCACTTTTCTTCGCTGCGTGCGCGCTTTGAACTCGTGGGTTTGGCCGAGAACCGGGGTACTTCACCTGTTCTATTTAAGAGACCAGGCCGGAGCATAATTCATTCATTAATAGCTGTGTTCGGTTATCTATAATCTCAAAATTAATAAACAGCTAACAATCTTCTGATAGATCGCCTTTATACTCACTCCACATTTAAAAAGAATCCTCCAAAAAGTAAGAAAGGTATGATGAGTGGCGAACCAAGAGATAAGGCTAACGATGTATTTCCTGATAGACATGAAATCATATAACCTAGAACAGAAGCATCATTAATTTCTAATTTGCTAAACTACTGTTATTTTATACAAGAAGATCGGAAATCGAAATAAGACAGCACAACTGTTCGCGCTGACCTGTTTAGTTGTTTAATACCGAGTAGACCATATCTACTATACCGCCAGAATCGTCGGCCTCTAGAGCTCACAGTGATCACTGGGCCATTAAACGCAGAGAGAGCTGCTATACACACTCGCAGTAGTCGATTCTGGTGATAGTTGACGCTTTGTGCTATGTCTAGATAGAATATAGTTGATAGCAACTAAAGCATAGGTTTTCGCTCGTTATCTCAGAGACCAAGCCTAGGTGAGATGCCAAAAAGCACGAAACAGCCATCCATGGTTGGCTGTATCTTGTCGGATGGACGAAAACAGTGTGTTTAGTTAACACTGGAAATTGTCAATAGAGCATGTGTCTGAAAGTCTGGAAGAATTTTCATTTTCTTATATTTATTTATATAGAATTCGCAAAGCCTACGGCCTTATATTCATTTTATCTACCATTTGTACAATCACGTCCCCACAAACCTTAAGTCTTTGTCTGTGTCAGCTTTTAAAAGAAGTTACAGAAAATTTCTATTTGATGAATTGTAGTGTTTATTTTATGTTGTTCCTTTCCTTTTTATATTATAAATGTTTTTTTTTATTAAATCTGCCTAAAATGATTTGACCTTTTTCGTTAAATTATATTTTAAATTATATTTTTTATATAATTTCTTTATATACATATTTTTTTGACGTTTATAATAATTATTTATTTATTATTAATATTAATTTGGTTAAGAACTCCTATGTTGTAATTTTGTTTGTTGGGCTAGTTCTTTGATCAGCTCGTCTGTTTACTAGTCCCTTTTGCAGGGAATTCATATTGTCTCTTTATTTTTAATTTTTCTTTCTCTTTGTATTTTTTTGCTCTGCAAATAAACGCTATTATTATTATTATATGCGATTTGTTCCTGAACTTCCTCGAAACAATAAAATATTTACTGATTCAGTAATGCTGAAGTCTAATACTGACCAAAACTTGTAGAGACGTTAGCCACCAAGGTCACGATTCCACATGCAATAAGAAATCTCATCCAAGATGGGTTTAAACCAACCATATAGTAGCAAACCGATGTAAAAAGTACCGGTAAAATAATAAACAGTGGTGTCTCTGCTATCACTTTGCTTAAGAAGTACACATCAGTCCTGTACATGCCATTCTTGTTTTCTCTCAGAAAAACTGGCAATTCTGTAGTGAATACCTGGAAAACAGACATTTTCATAAACCTAGTGATGACAATCTAAACAGCTTTGTATATGAACATTTAAGGTCTCTTGTTAGAAAACAGACTCCATTTAAAGTCAAATGAAAGGCTACTTTAAGCTGAATATAAAAAAATATGTATGTTTCGATATCTGAAGAAATGTCTGGTGGCACCCAAATAAAAGTAGTAAGTAGTATTCTTACATGTACTACAGCGAAGACGTTTTGAAAAGTCATATTCGTCAAAAATAGGAACATCGCTCCGTTAATGTTCATCACCCCATTTTCGTCAAGAACCTGTCCATAATAGATAGCTCCTATTATCAAAGCTATTACCTAAAATAACACCATATCAACCTGTGGCTTATGAATAAATATATTTATGAAATTTAAGGTTTCTTCATTATATTCTAGTTTAGAAGCAAAATAATTTATCGCAAAGTTGACACATATCTTTTATCCGTTCTTCGTTCGACGTGTCTTTGGCTTACCGCTGTTTGGAAGAGTCTTACATTCACCATCATTGGATCCTTAGTGATACTGAGCCAGGATCTCCAAAGTACAGCGTAAAATTGGCTGCACCAAGATGCTCTGTAAGGGCTCTTTTGAGATTCGCTTCCAAAATATATTTCTGATTCTGTACTTTCATAATCTTTACACTAAAATAAAATTTAGGTATTCGTTAGGTAAATTTGCAAAACTTTAGCACGAAGTTTCCTACCATAGACATTTGAATATTCTCTGTCATCACTAAGTGCTAGTTACCTTTCTTTTTGCTTCTACTAACATTCCAACTCCAATATCAGATTTTTCGAATCTATTGGTAATCATATTAATAGCTTGTTTACATGATTCTTCTCTGCCTGGTAATACAGCCAATAGCTGGATGAAATAATCAGCTGGGTTGTAGTTTTTTGGACATGGTGCTTCTAATCTATAGAAGTGAACAATATTACATACTTTTATAGAACGCTCACAGTATTCTGTACATCAAGCATAAACGGATACAAAACTCTAGAATGACGTTCCCTACCAAATTTAAATTAAGAGCTTACTGGGTAAAAAAAAGATTAGCCTCTTCTGGGGTTCCTAAGAATACCAATGTTCCCTCTGCTAGAAGTAGAATTTTGTCGAACATTGTATACAGCTCTGAACTAGGTTGATGTATAGTACAAATCACTGTCTTACCACTATTCGCCATTCCCTTCAGTACCTAAAATATTCAATATTAATTCAATAAAGAAATTATAAAAACGATAAAAATGATAAAGGAAATAGTTGGTCTTGGATCATAAAATATTATTTAATTTCTCTTCGAGACTGTGTACACACCTGTACAACATTGAGAGCCATGAAAGAATCCAAACCTGATGTGGGTTCATCGCAAAACATTGCTGAAGGATTAGTAAGAACTTCTGCAGCAAATGCTAATCGTTTCTTCTCTCCACCAGAAATGCCGATATCGTCTCTACTGGAGTAGCCTATTTGAGTATTTTCGCATTTCTTCAAAGATAACTGAAATTGGACAAATATATTATGGAAGAAAATATGTTTAAGCAGGCGAAGATCATACCTCCACCAATACTTCCTCTACTCTCTTCATTCTGTCTGGATACAAAATATGTCTATCCATTCTGACCAACGCCTGAAATTCGTTATTCTTTTATATTTTGTTAGCACTATAACGAAAACACATATTCGCTAAACAAGCTAATTTTACAGCAATACCTCATAACATTTAGTGGTGAGTAGTTCAAATGAACGATTCTTATTACTGAACTAAGTAAACTAGACAGGATACCACCGTATGCAACCAAGTAAGCAGAAGGTTGTATAACTGATTGCCTGAATACAATCATGGTGTAGTTCGAAAGTATGGGATGGGATTAAAAATTAGTTTACTTTCATACAACATATGAGTCATTGAGGCTAATGAAAAAATCATAACAAAACTAAGATGAAAATGGGTGAATTAGGCCCGTATCGTCAGTCGTCCCTACAATTGTAGGGTGCGTTTATGGCCTCCTTGATTTTCATACTCTTTTCTCTCCTTCAAGAATTTCTAGATTACACTCGTCCCGTGTCAGCGTAAGCGCTCTCCTATTGTTAAGATATGTTTTCCTTTTAAATTGTAGGAAATTTCAGGCTGATAAAACATGATATAACTCAAAAGCAAGCACAATTTGATGCAAATAGATGTTTGTGACATAACCTCAAAATAGAGCTCTGACACGGAGAAGTGGAAAACGATGACAATCAAGGAGGCCATAAACGCGCCCTACAGATTTCCATGTAAAAACATTTTTCGATCTTTTCTACTATGTGAAGAGTACTTAAATTTGAAACATTCATCTTCACAAAAAAATGAAACAAAAAAATCAACAATACAAAGTTTCCAAAGTGGTTGACCATCCTAATTCTAACCGCGCCCGACGCTGCTCAGCTCTGGTGGTCGGATGACAGGCGGCGTTTGCACTGGCATGATTACGGCTAATGTGGTATTGTTGCGGGAAATGGTTCGTCCGCGAACTGGTTCCCAGAACCAGTACGCTTTAGTGAACACCACCTTTGAACTAGTTCAGCGAAATGAACTACAAAGCACATTATTAGTAACATTACAGATTTATAGCACAGTCGCAATTCGGGTCCGCGTCGACTACTCGTGGAATAACAAGTAAGTAGTAAACACATGTTCATATAATGATATAATTTATTCATAAAACATTATATTGAAACGGGACAGCGCCCTCATTATTGAAATACTGCATAAAACATTCCTTATATCCCAAGCTTGTTCTGTAGAACTATTATTTTTCCTATTTTTCTTTGAATCTGTGCTTTCCTTTGGTTCTTCTATTAGGGCAATACCTTCTTTATCAATAATTATATTGTGCAACACACAAATGCAATTAACAATTTTTTCGGCATTTTCTGGAGATGTTTCTATTGCTTTTGTTAAAATACGCCATTTTGCAGCAAGGATTCCGAAGGCACATTCGACAACTCTTCGTGCTCTTGAAAGTCTATAGTTGAAAATTGTCTTCTGTGCATCTAAATTTTTTCGTGGATATGGTTTTAACAAATGATTCAGAAGTGGATAGGCTTCATCTCCTAATAAAACATATGGTAGCTTTGTATCTGAGTTTGGTAAATTACGATCTGCTGGTATATTTAACTTTCCAGTAACTAAATGCTGATATAAAGCACTTTCTCGAAATATTCCACCATCTGATTGTTTACCGAAGGCACCTGTGTCGATAAAAATGAAGCGGCAGTTAGCATCGGCTACTGCTTGTAAAACAATAGAGAAATACTGTTTATAATTGTAATAACTTGTTCCAGTATTCGATGGACATCTTATTCTTATATGTTTTCCATCTATGCACCCAAAACAATTTGGAAAATTCCACTTCTTATAAAAATGTCTGCTTATCTCTAACAAATCTTGTTCCGAAGGTATCCCAAGATGAATTGGTTGTAGTTCCTCCCATATTGCGGTACAAACTTCTTTCACTATACTTGCTACAGTCGAAAAACCCATCCTGAAAGAGTCTGCGAGTGCTCTATATGATAATCCAGTAGCTAAAAACCTGAAAAAAAAATGTTTAATTCAATACTCAAGTTTCTTAGTCTTATCCATCAATCTAACTGCTAATTTTTTTCATATATATATATAATTTTTATTTTCAGTTGAAATTGCTAAAACAAAGTGGAAAAACCTGAGAGACAATTTTCGGGCAGAAGTGAGAAAAATAAATAAAGGAAAATCAGGAGACGCTGGCGGCAGCCAAGCAGATCATGGGTCCAACTGGGTGTGGTTTAAAAACCTGTTGTTTCTAAAGGATCAAATGGTTTCAAGAAAAATGAGCAGCAGTCTTCAAAGCTCTTGCACTGTCACCACTGGTCCATCATGCGCACTGTCTGAAGATTCGCAAAGAGATACGCAAGAGATAGATGATGTCACAGAAATTGAAGAAAATTCAAAGATAGAAGGCCAAACTCCAGCTACGGATCAAGATACACCGACCGCATCAAAAACCAGTAGTTACACAAAAAGAAAGCGGGGCTCTGGGATTGACTATGAATTGTTAAATCTAGAAAAAAAGAAGATTCGAATGATTGAGACACAACTAGCACAGAATATCCCAGAATCAAAAACAGAAGATGATTTATATTTCTTTTTAATGAGCCTTCACAAACCTCTCAAGGATCTTCCGATTGATCGACAAATGTTTATTCGCTTTAAAATACAGGAATTACTTTATACTGAAATTATCAGTGCAAACCAATACCAGCAAAATACAACAAGCGGTTTAAATGTTCAAAATTCTGCAGTTAACACATTCGTTCCCAGTCAAAGCACTCAGTACATAAATCCACCGTCTACATCTTCGGTTTATTCCAATACGTCAGCTAGTAACAGCCATGATACTGACCTATTATTATTACAGTAGAATGTAATTACTCAGTATAGGAGAAATAAAGTTTAAGCCATTAAGCGGAATATAAAAATACTATGAATATACCCAGACAAAAATATTTAATTTTTTTATTTTAAATAGTTGATCTTTTTCTTCGGATTGTTTCTTTTTATTTTGTATTACTCATGCTATACTGCTTCTCGTACATTACAATTTATTACTAATACAATAATGTTAAGGAAGGTTGCCGACTGCCTTTCCTCAATCGTCGTTTCGGTGGCCGACGATAGATGATACCGCTGGTGGTTCTCACTAGAGCTAACAGATGGCGCTCGCTACAGCGATGATTGTTCCTGAGGCCAACAGATGGCGCTCATTTTCATTGAACGACATATATGCTCCATACTGTAGAAGTTATGGTTTGAGGCACCATTATAAGACGCTTGAAAACCCGATTTTCCAACAAGTTAATGGCACTCCCCATATTGCCATCAGAAAGTGATGGATATGGGAGGACATCATAAGTTTCAAATATTATCAGAGAAGAAATAAAACATACGGTTATAAGGATTTGACCTTGTCAATGACCAGTCATGGTCAAGCTCACGTGAATTTTTAAATTCTTACACCCTACTTTTTACCAAAAAGTGGACAAATCGAAAAATCTACTTTCAGGTAGTCTTTGAGCATTTGAAAGTTATGGTCAGAATACCCCTCTCCGACCTCCTAGAGTACCTAGAAGTGTCACCAATTAGGACGTATTAATAGATGTAGGATATTATAATGTATAATGTTGCCAGAGAAGTGAAACGTACAGTTGTTACGATTTATTCCAGACTGGCCAACGGTGAATCACCTTGAAGGTTATGATCAAGCTTAAGTCAAATTGTTAAGTGTGACATCCTAATTGTCAGTGATTTGAATATTCTGACTTAGCGGTAACGGGTCTTGCTTTGACTGGTAGGACATACTTTTTAGTCCCCAAAATCACTTTACTCCACATGCTTATTCCCTATACACAGACGGAAGTCCGGACCTCCTCTCGTATTGATAACATTCTTCCATATCCCCCGTTTCTAGCAACTCAAAACCACCTACCACTCTACCTCTTAGTCCAGATTTCATCAATGTTCCCCTGTCTAACCTTTTTATTACTCCAGGAACCGTTACAACTTGATAGCACCCTCCAAGTTTTCAAACCTTCCTACCATCGCGTAAAAGTTCAACTCTCTAACCTATGACTATCGACTTCTTTCTTTATCTTTAAGCCCATACTACTGTTCCTCCCACTCATTTTCCTCTCTCTGTCTCTTTCGCTCCCTCTTTCGCTCTCTCTCTTTGTCCCTCTCATTTATTCTTACCCTACTTCTTCTCTAATCCTATCACAATGGTTTTCTCTTCAGTCTTTAATTTCCTCAACTCCACCTTGAGCTTCATAATTAGCAGCGAATATGCAGTTTACCTATTACTCAGCCAATCAAAATATGCTACATCACTACCAAATAGTATGTCTCACTTGACCATAATATTCAAGGTCATGGTCAAGGTCAAATCGCTGATCATCATTTGCCAGTTTTTCTGTCAACATTAGAAGTTAAAATGATACCCTACGCCTTATTTGGGAGGCTTCTGGGTTCTTCATGGGGTCGGGCATGGGTTTCAGACCATGAACTTCAAAGGTTGCGTTTCCCAAAATGCGCAAGGGTTACATGAAAGGAAGTAATCAAATCCAAGCGAATAACCAAAATTTCTGTGTTATGTACCGCGGTTATAATATGTTTAAGATGACACACGGGTTGATGACGTCAGTTACTAGAATTGGTTGAACGCGTTGGTTTTAACCTCGATATTGTTGCAAGTTGTTTATTTTAGAAAAGCGCAATTTTTTATTATTTTTATTATCACTTAATAATCGGTGCTTTTTTACAGTGTGTGGAATGTTTAAAAAAGAAACCTTTCATAATATCAATGGTTTATTTTTTTTTCAGAAAATAATTTTTAATGAAGGAACCATGGCTTTGTAGCTATGATAAGTTTCAATTCTCTAAACTTTTCCGCATGTCAAAGAAAATATTTATTGATTTAGCAGAAATGATAGGAAAAAGCGATGAAAAAGGTATTAGCAAAACAGTATAAAGGTGGAACATTATACAGTGAGTTTATATAGCCATATTTTAATATGCTTGTGGTATATGGCTCCACATGATACTTTGTTAAGCATAGGATCTAGATTTAAAGTGTTCCCATCAACAGTAATGAGTATAACTAATAAGGTGCTCTACTTTATGCTACAACTGAAGTCAGCCTGTATCAAGTTTCCCAAAAATGAAACTGAAGTACAACAAGAATATCCAATACCCGCCAAAATTCTAACTTGTCACATTTCAAGTAACCAAAAATATAAAACTACTCCTGAATTGGGTAAATACCACAATTTTGCGGCGATAACTACGACATATAACAGCTGATTCATGACGGCACGGATCTTATAACCAAACTGATAACCACATTCGCTTGAACGGATCGATAAATACCAATCGAAAATGGTGAATACCATGTTCATTTGGTTATTCGCTTGAATATGATTCATGTTTCGCTTTGTCAATATCACTGTCAAGATAAGATCCACGATCACAATTGGGTAAAGGTGCAGGAATCCTGATTAGTATTTTTTACTTCTACTCTGAATATTACTTTAAAACTTATGTCTGTGCTCATATCTATCAATAAATAACTTCTACTTGAAGGAACTCTGGGTTCCGAAGGGAATGGGGAAGGGGTTTCTGTGAGTTAACCTTTTCGGGCATTTCAATCGTCATGGTGTAAGATTTCAACTGATTTAGCCAAAAGCCGTTTTCCACAAGTAAGTTGCGGGGCTCTTTCAGTCAAACCAAATCAGTTTTACTGGATGTTCTTTGCCGCTGTGTCTAATTATAGCTTCTGGTAAATGTATGAAAATTCATAATATTATATTTTTAGTAAATAAACTTTTTTATTATTTTTCTCTATGACATAACGTAATTGCTCAGATACCTGAAATATGAGATGCTCCTTGACGGTTAATGTACCAATAAACAAATCATTTTGCTGAACATAAGCCGACACACTAGCCAGTGACTTAAGTGTGGCTGGTACCCCGTTGACACATCTTACTCCTGTCACAGCAACGTCTTTGGTAGTACGGAAAGTCAAAGCGTTCAACAGTGTTGTCTTTCCAGATCCACTTGTGCCCAACACAGCCAGAAGTTCCCCTGGATAAGCTATGCCAGTTACTGAAAGAACGTGAAATAGTTCTACAGCTTATCCCCAGATACATCCCATAATAATATATGAAACCGATAGATAAAGATTTTGATAAAGACTACCGAGGTAGACTAAAATAGTCTAATCAACGTATGTATATGTGGTCTAGATTATTCGCCCAGTCTCAAAAATGTCTCTTCCATGAAATTTTCATTAAGAATCAGATTGCCGAATTGTTTTATTTTACTGATCAACTATTTCTATAACTTTGTAAAAAGCCAAGTAACTTTGAATTTTTAAATAAATACTATTTTCTTCCTGAGACAGTTGAAGTTTCACAGCATTATTTTTTTCACATATCCGTAATTTTTCATATTGATCGCCATTTTATCAACATGTAAGGAACTTAGACTAGAGAGATATTCAGCTTTACTACTTATTCTGATCAGAAACATTTGCTTGGTTTGCGATATGCTGTACCTACTTTAGGATGTACTTGCATTTTTGGATTGAGAGAAAAAAATTGGATCTTTTGAAACCATGGCTATTACAGAATACATACCGTTCTTCAGAATGTGTATCTTCTGGCTACCAGCCACCACAGTTTTCGGTCCACAGCACCAATATTTTCTTTTACTGATCTCATTAGAAGTTGCAAATGCATTTATATCACACCAAGAATACGTGACCCTTTCTTCTATTGGTACTACTTTGGTTAACGCTCCTGTGTTTGTACCATACATGGGTATCTTGACCGACCCCAGTTTGATAGATAGAGATTCCTCACTTCCATTTTCCTGTAAAAGTTTTAGGTAAAACTAACTAACCATTCACAAAGAGGTTGGCATTCTGCGAAACCAAAGGTTGAAATTTAATTGTGCTTACACACTTAAATGAACCATCAAAGGGAAATCTTGTGAATCCGGGGTTATCTAGGTTTAAGTAGAATCAGTGGAAAAACATATATTTTATATTTATATCCTGAACCCACGACTCCGCCCGCGTAAAAAAGTATAAGGTATAGGAAATTCGCACTAGTGTGAAGGAAATTTGTTTCGGATAAATGGATGCAATATTCAGAGGTATGCAATAAATACTTTGGTAGTGGATATTTTCTTCAACGTAGCCATTTTGGCTTGATGGCGTAAAAAACATCCACACTTTCTCATTTATAATATTAAGTATTATCTATAGTCGCATTTGCTTAGTCAGTACTATGGGGATACACTACTTGTACGTTCGATGCCTGAACTGTACTAAATAACCTCAATAAAGCAAAATACTGCTATTTACGATTAATTTTGAAAGATTTTTCCTACCAACAATATGAACATTAAACGTCTGACTGATAAAGCTTACTAACCTCGATCTTGCTAACCATCTGCTTGACCACGATCTTCGCGCTGGATCTCCTTCTAGACGACGGCCCAGGAAGAAGAGGCTGTTTCTCGTCACCCATTTCTACACAGACTGACGATCAACAAGAACTTAGATAATGGAACTATGTAATGCAAATAAGGAGATCTCGTGCATGATTATCAAAACAATTAAAATATAATCATAGTGTGTCAAGTAGCCTGAAGGTATCAGTGAAACTGAATCTTTTCATGGAACACGAGCGATAGGTTATGAATATTTTAAAAATATTGCACTATTGTTTTACGGTAAAAGAACAAAAACGAATTTCAGCAGTATTAGAAGATTAAAGATTGAATATACACTATTCTAATAAAATTTATCAATAAGGGCTCAACATCATTTAAGGTGTTTCATCTTCAAACGATTCCATCTTTAAACAGTTCCTTTTGAACTTTATATCTAGATATATTTTCCCAATGCAATTACTCATTGGGCTTAGGACGTTTACTTACTTGAGCTGGCAGATTTAATAGAGGCAAGTAAGCAACTTTACTTATGACAAGTAAACGTAGTGCATCTACATTTAGTATATCACTTTAAGTGATCATGTTTATAAATTTAGCGCACTCTTCATAAGTCTAGTCTAGATAAAGTTTTACTTTCCTCGTGTGTGCAGAGAAAGTATTGTTCTCGCAGGGTTATTGAAAGAACTTATCTTGAAAATCCATGTCATTCGTTTTCGTCGTTATGTCGTCTTTTTATCACATAATCTCAGAGACCATTGAATGTAATTTGTTCAAATTTCGGGAGTAGTATAGCGGTTTTTGACGTCAATATGAGTATTGAAAAATAATGTGTTTAAAAGTTCCAACTAATATCATCAACAGATCTAAGAATAAAACAGTGGAATGTTACTCTCACCTTGTAAAGCTGAATAACTGAATCAGTCCAACATTATTTGACTTTAGATACTTGCACAAACAATCTGAAAGGATTTGTACATGAGAACTGCATGCAGAATTGTGAAACGTAGTATTGAGTAGCGACGTGTGGCGATTGGAAAAAATAGCAGGTAAATTGATAGATCCAGGGTATCGAATGTCTGAATGTGTGCCCCTTCCCGTTGACTTGGAAATCCATTTACTCACGGTTACTTAGTTTACATGGCACGGTTGTGGCCATATTTTCATTGATTTTTGCTGACAGTCGACTAGAAGGAAAAGTAATTGAGGACAGTATTTTTCATGGTTACAAATACTTGGACATCTATTTCAATGTAGATCTCGAACAGCAGTCCCAAGTTGAGATGAGAATCGGTAAATCATAGAAGTTTGGGCTGCAGTCTTAGTATATTTCGCGGTCAAAGATACGACATCTCGATTTTTAGTAGTAATTTACTTGAAGGTAGCGAACCAGTTACAAGGTTCCCGCATCCAAAACAATATCCGAGATACGAGTACTGTAGCGTATGACAATTTGTCACAGCTACGTTGCTGCTCTCCGCATTAATAAGAAATCTACACTAAAAAGGTTAGTGTCTCATATATGATGCTGTTCTAGAATATATGTTATATACTAATATAATTACACTGCCAGCTATGAGAGGGTAGATCTTTAATTAATGCGTAGAGGAGAAACATATCTTTACAAATTTTCATAGATGACGCTACAGTGTCTGAAAAGTCGTCTCGGATAATTTTTTTGTACCCGGGAATATTGTATTATGTTGGCTATCTTCAGGTAGAGTTCGTTAATCAATGGTAATATTTCACTTTCACTGTCAAAAATGAAGTTGTTTTTTTTTGATGTTTTTTGATGTTACACGTCTTGTACACCAAAAAAGCATGTGACTCGTTTTCTTTCAGTTTGTCTGTCTGTCTGTTTGTCTTGATCACTATATAAGTGAAAACCTTGAGAACCTTAAAGCCAACCGGTCTCAAGAACACTGGTCGATACTTGAAGATGAAGATATAGACACGGCGTTTGAAAACTTCATCAATACTTTCTTATGGCAGTTTAATACCGCGTGTCCAGAAAGAGTAGCGATTTTTAAGCAGAACTCACACTCTAAAGCCTGGATAACGGAGGAAATAAGATCCTCCAGTAAAAATTTGAGGGAAATACACACCCTCCTGCAAAATAACAAAGATAACTCCGAACTGAGACAACATTACCTACAAAGAAAAAGTAAACACAGAAAACTACTAACAACTACTAAAAAACGATATCATGAACATCTAATTGAAAATGCAGAAAATAAATCGAAGACGGTATGGGAAATTGTAAACAAAGAACTAGGACGAAGCAGCTGTACCAATCAAATAATCTTAAATATAGAATCCGTTGGAGATCTGCGAAGCGAAGGTACATCCGACGCATTTGGTAGGTATTTTTCTACAATAGCAGAGAAGAAGCTCCATGTACACTTTGGAGGACAGCCCACAACTACAAGTCTGTCAACAACCTCACTAGCTCAGTCAATGTTCTACAGCGAAACTACCGAAGATGAAGTGACCAATGTGATAAACAACCTTCGAAATAATAAGTCGTGTGGAAGTGAAGGTGTGTCAACAAGAATAGTTAAAAGTGTGTGTCATCAAATTGCAGGTCCATTAGCTGTGCTCATAAACATGTCGGTGCATCAAGGTAAATTTACTAAAAATCTTAAATTGGCCATTGTGGTACCTATATTGAAAAAGGGAGATCCCTCTCAAGTCGAAAACTATCGTCCAATATCTCTTCTGTCAGTTTTTTCAAAGATATTTGAGAAAGTACTGCACGCGCGCATAGCCAGCTATACTGAAAAATACAACATCATCTCCAATAACCAACATGGGTTCAGGAAATCACGCTCGATTGAGACAGCCTCTTTTGAGTTTATGAACCACATATACCGAGCAATAGACTTGGGTCATCTAGTTGCTGGAGTATTTTTCGACTTGTCCAAAGCGTTTGATATCATTAATGTAGATTTGCTAAGGGAGAAACTTTTCAATATAGGTATTAGAGACTTCTTGCTGGACTGGCTAGTGTCTTTCCTGACAGACAGAGAACTTAGAGTGAGAATAAACGATGCGCAGTCAGCTACCTATAAAATAAATATAGTTGCAGCTCAGGGATCTGTATTGTCACCACTTCTTTTCATCTTATTTATAAACGATCTGAAGCTCTCAGGTGCAGTAGTGAACTATGCTGATGACACATCGGCTGTAGTAACTGCAGATTCGCCTGAAGATCTATACCTTAACATTGGAATCATAAAATCTGAGATGGAAGTGTGGTGCCAAACAAATCGTCTGATCTTGAATGCTGACAAGACGGTAGTTGTTCACTTTTACTCTAGTACTCCACGTCTCATTAACAGAACTATCTCAGACTCTACGACCTTCCTGGGTATTGAGTTGGATGCAGGATTAAATTGGAAGCAACAAGTTGACAGTGTATGCAGGCAAATCAATAGGTCCTACTATGCGATATTGAAATTAAAGCCAAATGTCCCCAAATCAACGCTGATAGATGTGTACTACGCAATGGTGTATTCGCATCTGTCAAATCACACCATCGTCTGGGGACAAGGATGTACCGCGTCCAGAATGTTTATTTTGCAGAAACGTATTGTAAGGCTGATATTTAACATTAAAAGGAGAGAATCATGTAGAGCAATATTTCAGCATAATAACTTGCTAACGCTTCCGAGTATATATATTTATAAATGCACCCTCTACACCTTCAATCACAGGGGCCAGTTTCTGCAGAACAAGGACTTAAACACGAACTACAACACTAGAGCGAAACAGGACTTGAGTATACCTTCTCATACACTGTCAATGTTCGAAAAATCACCAGCCTACGCCTGCACCAAGGTATTCAATAAGTTGCCATCAATACTAAAAGATATTAGATGCTCAAATAGGTTCAAGAAAGAGCTGAGGAGTCTGTTAATAGAAAGATGCTACTACTCAGTAACCGAGTTTCTTTCAGGGTAAGAGTGATGCACCAAAAAATTAAATAGGAAACTATGGCTGTATATATATGTGTGTATATATGTATGTGTGTCTGTATATATGTATGTGTATATATGTATATATTTATATATATGCATTTTGTCTTATACACCTCCGAAATGCACTATGCTCTATACGAATACGCCTCCAAAATCGGAGGCGAATTGGAAAATTCGGAGGCCAAAACGTATCGACGTGTATAACATGTTTAATCGTCGTGTGACGTATCAAAACACATTTTCCCAAATTTTTCGGTGGAGGCCAATTCGTCATGTGCACATATACAGTTATACAATTCAGTTCAGGAATTTTTTAATAGATGGCACTCAAGTCTTATACACTTATACACGACATATTGTGGGCTTTACCACTTTACCTCCATGCATTCTTCAGTCAATGCGCCTCCGAAATTTGGCAACATTACATGGAGGCGAATTGGATGATCTAATGGCATGGAGTTGAATTGGACGGTTTATATATACTCATGTATATATTCGGTGTCTCATATGTATAAGAAAGCGAAAATTTAGTTTTGACAGTTCAAGAATTCGCAGTTTGTGATAGATTTTTTTAAATTCTAATAAAGAAGATAAATAAAAGTAAAATTCACATTCGCATGACTTTTTCCCTCTACATGATGACTTAATTAGATTTTTGATCCGACGATTCGTTCATTCGTAATTATAATCAAATGACGTTGATGATGGTTTTTCTCATCCGAAATATCGAATAAATGTAAAGAGCGATATGTAGTTGGATTTTGAATTAAAAGGTTGCCGTGAAACGAAACGTCAGATTGACAATCTAATAACATCAGCTTGTACAGCAGAAAAAGTAGCAAGGGGAATGTGAAACATTTACTGTCATATATTATCAAATATAATCAGACGAAAATAAGAACGGAATCGTGGAAATTCTGTTAACTTGGATTATTAAAAAAGCACAACTAAACAAAAATTTTATTTATTTTTAAATAAACAAAAATAAAATATTTTGAGAAAGCACAGTTTCCTAATATTTTAAACAAAGTTTCTGCATTATTAAAGAAACATTTTGAAATAAATTGATTTATTCTGTTTAATGGTGAAATGAAATTGTGCTTTTTCCAAAATCCAGGTAACCAGAACTTCACGGTTTTGGTTCCGAATTTTATAAATACCGATACAATTGCTTATATCTCAAATATCTTTTGATCAGTACCTCACAACATAAAACCTATAGGTTTTAAAAACAATTGCACAAACTAAAAAATTAGCAAGGAAAGAATAGTTTTTCGAGTGTCTGAAAATTATAAATAAGATAGATGTCAGAATGTGACATAAAACACTGGATGACATAATGAACATTATCTCAAAACGAATCTTTATTATACAAGATGATGTAATTCTGAATAAGAATTTCTTTATTTTTAAATGTAATGACGTCGCAAAGAACTGGTAGTTTGAAAGAAATTTCCAACACAACTTAAATTTTTGTAGTCAGATTTACTTCTAAAATTCACAAACTCTGTGGATGAAAAAGCACGTCTTCAAGAAAAATGTACTGTTTAGTTCAACTATTTATCTAGTTTACACACAACTTTGACAACATTTTGAAAAATTTAGTGGACCAGAATTTGTTGTAGTAGATTGAATGGCTTCTGTATATTCAGTGAAAAATGACAAAATAATAATAAAAATCTTCGACGCTTTGTACTCTTGCATTTATAGAAGCTTTTTTTATATCAGCTCACAGATTTTTCTACATATCCTTAAAACACAACTCAGAGCAACCAGTGATCTGTATAAGATACCTTTGAAAAACAAATATTTTTATATTGCCGGATACAGTGTCACACATAAAGTTAGAATCATATGGGATTTTTTTTTTCTTAAACTATTTAGAAAGAATTTGATTTCGCGGTTAGTTTTTGCTAAATGATGCCAAATAACATGCATATGAGCAATTACGTGACCATTCTTCATAGTCAAAATTGAGGATTCTTTGTTCAAATCTCAAAAACCCAACTCTCTTCTCAAAATTTCGGGAAATGCTAAAGGAAAAAGTTGTTTGTCTTTCAATTCTTTATTTACATCCGAATTTTCAACTGTCTAATACAAATTCCAAATTTATTTCACATTTGTGAATTTTTCAAATTTCACCAAAGCTCAAAAAAATATATACTACTGACTGAACAAAGCTTCACTTATTTCTATAGATATTATAGACAAAAGTTTTCACGCGAACCCAGTCTTTGTCATGGAATATCTCGGGATACTTTCCTATTAACTGCATGCATTCATTCTTTTTGGGGGCCTTTTTTGTGCTAATGTGGGACTTGAAATGTTTTTTCACTAGAAGAGCCTGTTCAGAAGTCCAGAATGTCCTCCCTGATATTTTCTTCTTCGATACTGGTCGACTTTCTTCTTCCGGGATTGCTTAAAGTAAGTTATTAATAAATATCAACATTCTGTTATTCTAATAGATGGGAGGGATGGTCATTTAGTGTTTGAATCGAATTGTATTTTAAAAGCAAAAAATCTAATAAGAGGTAATTAGTGTCGTTTCTAGAGTGAATGTTCGTTGTACTAAACTCTTGAAACATTTTTTCTTTCCTATCCATGTACTAATTGGTACTTGATATGCGATATTAAAAAAACATGTTTTTTTATTCTGAAAGTTTTCAACAGCTTGAGAATGGCTCTGCGTTTAATAAATTGATATTCAATATTACTATTAAAAGTTATACGTACGATTTACATCAAGGACGTTTAAATACACTGACTAAATGAGTCAAAGGGTATATAAACTTGCATTGCTTTTCTTCAGTAGAACGATCAGAAATTGCTTTGGCCAAAAGGGGCATGAATATAGTATTTTTGTTAAGGTTAAGTAGAATAGCAATATATGGCTAAACTTCGCCGATTTGTAATATAATTACAAATAAAGTCCTGTTATTATTATTATTATTATTATTATTATTATTATTATTATTATTATTATTATTATTATTATTATTATTAATAGAAATACTTATTAATAATTTCATACTATCGATAATAAATATTTTTATAAGATCTACGCGGAAAGAGAATTAAATTACTAAAATGCTGCAATTTTATTTTTATCAATTGATACGTTTTGCCGCATACATTTAAGCTTTGCAGAAACAGCCATATTTACTGATCACTTTTTGACTTTTCACTGATTACCTTGAAATGCCGTACAGTCAGATTCATTTGCATCTAGGAAATCGTTATCTTCATTATCTGATTCTTCTTCAGCAAATTCACTCATTGGATTAATATTAATTTCATTTAGCGACTTTCCTTTATACTTGTCAACGCCCTTTTCCATTAACATTAGGAGTTTGGAAATTTTTGCGGTTTGGTACACATCTTGTGGCAGCCTAGAAAACAAAGTACTTAAAGAGTGAAAAATATGCAGAGTGTCACTAAATTGTTACTCAAAATTTCAAACACAAATCGAACTTCAAAAAATAGTTAAAACATCTCCTATGAACAATGGACCCGGAAATGTTTAGTTTCCAAGATAGAGAATGGTAAAGTTGAAAATTGAAATTCGAATTTTTTTGAATTTTATAAACATTTCTCAATGTATTACTTTTAAAATTGGTCCAGAGGAAATTTTTCAACTACATATTTTCTGATTTATTTGTAGGTAAACTTTTAAATACTAATTTAGCGACATCCTGTATATATTCATTTGAAATTCATATTGGTCTTGATCCAGGAAAAAGGAAACGTCAATTTATTAAGCATAAGTAAAGTTTGTTACATCTGAGATAAAAATCATGACATCAAATAAAATTTTTTTCATTGTCGGTTTTTTCAATTCAAAGTGAATCCTATGCCGATCTTCAATTGTTATCGAGAAATGGGCGTCTGAATTTGATACTTTAACGCATTGATATATTTAGACTAATCAAGTTAGATCAAAATGGTTGCCACTTTCTTATAGCAAGATCCATTACCTATCCGATACCATTAGTCATAAATAGTAGGAAAAAGCTGACCACCAGGTGAAATTCAGAATAAGTATTGTTGGATGTTAAGAAAAAAGTGGAAGTACTTTGACTTGATCTTTTTAAACGCCACAAGATCACAAAGTTAAAATTGTGAATAATTCGACACCATTTTCTCAAAATCATTTGAAAATCGGGAATGTAACTTAGAATTTCAGATGCTAATCAAAAATAGGGTCCCTATTTGAACACATTTCTACTGACATCCTTTTACTCTAAAATAAAAGTAACTGCGTAATATTTCTTCAGGGCATTTTTACAATAACGAAAACTTGAATTTCAAATGAATGTATGCCGTAATTTATTGTAGGGAGAACTTACTTATAAAATTCATTGTGGGTTTTTTCAGTATGTCCCATGAAGTGGGCGAATTGTTCACTCTCTTCCTTACTAAGGTTAAGAATTTGCATTACCGTTGCAATTTGCTTCCGTAATCTGTTAGAAGATATTTGTTTGGGAAATTCTAGATCAGCTTCTTGGGCAAATTTCCGTATAATAACATCCCCTCTTGTCCACTTCGAAGTTCCAGGACACCCAAATAAATATGGATTATTTTCGGGTACTAAGTGATGTTCTTGGCGGATTTTAACAAAGAAATCTATATAGGTTTGTAATGTTTGAGGGAATAGAATAGCTATGGGTCTACTACCTTTTCCACCTGTCACAATGCGTTTATAATATTTTGTTAGTATTTTTTCTGACTGAGACAATGCTTTTTCACACTCCTCTTGGTTAACCGGTTTCCAGTAGTTGATGTATGTACTTAATTTTGTGTATTGAACGTCGCCTATTCTTTTTCTGTTAAATAATATCGTTAAAATAAGAGAAGCCTGAATCAACTTTTTCATTTCTTTCCTATCAGTTGGATTGAGTGTTAGACAGGTCATTGCTTTATTTGCCACATTGGTAACGTAGTCTTTGAATTTCGTTATGTCCCGAGTTAAAGGTAACATTGCTGGTTTCTCCCATTGTTTTTCATTAAGGTCTTTAAATGCTAAGCTACTGATTTCCGTGGTCCACTGTGTATTTATGAGTTCTCGAAATCTGTTTATATCTCTTAATGCCTCTTCTTTATCAGAGATTCTTAAAGCTTCATCCTCTTTCAGGACCAGTCTTGTGAAAAGTTCACAAACTTGTTTTAATGAAGTTCCCAGATGTGCAGGTAGGCTAGGTGCACGATATGTCTTAGAATATTTTTCATATCCCCCTACATGTTTTGCGCATTCGACTGTCATATCAAACAATTTTGGTTTAAAAACGTCTTGTAGCCTGAATTTTGAGTTATTTGTCATTTTTCTGAATTGTATCAGAAACCGTGCCAATTCTCTCATTTTATTGGAACAAACTGTAACGAGTTGTTCTCTTCTGTGTTTTTTGAGATAGTTTTCTCCAAAGTTATAATTAGGTAGTCGGATTTCGCAACCAAGGAGATATAATCAGGTTTCATTCGGTCAAAGACTTCCTCTTTTACTCTCAGTTTGTGCAAGTTACTATTATCATCAAAAGAACTAGCTATTAATGTTTGTGATGCTGCTAGTGAATTCATCTTACGAATTTCATTATTATTCGTGTGTTTCAGTATGCAGTTTTTTTTATGACGTGACAAATACGATTTAGACAGCATTGCTTTGCAGCGTGAACATGGGTAATATTCTTTAGATTCTGTCTTATAATGATACTTAGGCTGTACATTGCCTTTAAGATACTCTGTAAAATTTGCTGCATTTCTCAACAAACTTAGAATTTTTTTCCTTTCAGGATGGCTTTTTGGAAAAGACATCATATCTTGTACCTCTTTAGTATCATCGTGGTTCCGCTCAAGATGCCTCTCAAAATTTGTTACATCTGTCTGACAAAACTTACACTTTGTTCTCTTTTTTTCGTTGTTGTCTGAAAAATGTAAAAAAAAATTGATTTTTTTAAATTTCTGCAAAAATGCTGATAGAAATTGATAATGAAACAATACAAGTTTGAGGGAGAGGCTTGGCATTTTCGGTGATATCTTGATTTAAAAATGAGCTGGCCTGGCTTTTTTAGCTACAATATTTTATGACTGATAAATTTTTATATTTTCTGACAGTGAGAATCTTGTCAAAGATTTTTGATGACCAGCAGTTATTTACTAGAAACAACGATACAATGGTGCTAATTTGAGACTGACAAAATAATTTAATCATGCCTTTAGGAATAATAGGTGACTCAAGGTAAAGTTAAAAATATTAGTCTAGAATTTCAAAGCTTATAAATATTATATTCCCACAAGTAAGAAAACGTCTAGCAAAATATTTTACTCTAGAATTAAGATTTGATTATCAAGTTAATAAAATATCCGCAGTAATATTTTGTATATGATTATTTCCAAGTGAAGTTTTTATGGTTGAACTTACTTTAGTTTGAGTCTCCGATATTTGATTGAAATTGGACACATCAATGTTACTCAGGATAACAATTTTAGGGGACTTTTCCTTTAGCTGTTCATCCTGAAAAAAATATTAGTAAGTTTCCATCAAATACAGATATACAGTATTTAACTGAAAATTTGCATCATAAAAGGGTAAAATCATTTTTAGAGAATCTGTTTATTACCAAAAGAAAAAATACGAAACGTTTCACTTGTCTAAAAAATGGCGTCAAGTAAATTGACTTGGCACTTCCCTCGCACCGCCAAGTTTAAAGACTTTGGAAATTTAAGAACTGAAATATTGTCTTTCCAACAAAATGTACGGAGAAATCTAAGCATTGAATTACTGCTTTAGGATACGTACTAACGTCAAAAAACTGAACAAAACCCTCCCCCCACCCTCTACCGCCTTCTGCCACCCCCAACCCCCAATTTTTGACCCCTACAAAAAATTTTAAAAATCAGGAACCTCTGAAACGTCCAAAAACGAAGTTTGAGCGATTTTAATTTTTTTTTGTTTTTTGCTTCTAGCACCGCCGCCACTGGATAACTATTCAAAAACTATAAAGGTTTTCCGTCCTTGACATAATAGTAACCTTGTGTCTTGTAATAATTTGGAAATTTAAACAGAAAATTTGGATTTTTTTTTTTAGAATCTGAATATATCTGAAATTATTCTGTTTTACTTCCTCGCCAACTGGCGGGAAAGTATTGTAATCGCGAAAAAAATCGAAATTGAGATGTTATGTTTTTTGGATATCACATGACATGTACATCACGAAAACCATGTCACTCATTTCCGTCAGTCTGTCTGTCTGTCTGTCCGCTAATCCTATAAGCCCGTATAAGTTGGAAAGTACCAGTCGGATTTTGATGAAATTTTTACACAAGGTTACTATTATGCCAGGACGTAAAAGCTTTATACTTTTTGAAAATCGATCCAGTGGCGGCGGTGCTAGAGGTAAAAAACGAAAAAAAAAATAAAAAAGCTCAAATTTCGTTTCTGGACGTTTCAGACGTCCCTGATCATTTTTGGAATTTTTTTGTAGGGGTTGAAAATTGGGAGTTGGGGGCAGCAGGGGGCGGGGGCGGGTATGATTCAATTTTTGGACGCTATTATTTTTATACGTATCCTAACACAGTAATTCACTGCTACAATTAGGATTTATTTCGCAATCAGATTTCTCCGTACATTTATTCAAAAAATTTCAGATATTTTCAGATTCTAAAAAAAAAATCCATATTTTCTGTTTAAATTTTGAAATTATTACAAGACACAAGGTTACTATTATGTCAAGGACAAAAAACATTTATAGTTTTTGAAAAGTTATCCAGTGGCGGCGGTTGCTAGAGGCAAAAAACGTAAAAAAAATCAAAATCGCTCAAACTTCGTTTTTGGACGTTTCAGAGGCTCCTGATTTTTGATATTTTTTTGTAGGGGTCTAAAATTGGGGGTTGGGGGTGGTAGAAGGCGGTAGAAGGTGGGGGAGGGTTTTATTCAGTTTTTTGACGTTAGTACGTATCCTAAAGCAGTAATTCAACGCAGCTATTTGTATATATTCCACACTTAGATTTCTCCGTACATTTGTTAGAAAGACAATATTTCAGTTCCTAAATTTCCAAGGTCTTTAATCTTGGCGTTGCGAGGGAAGTGCCAAATCAATTTACTTGACGCCATTTTTTCGAACAAATGTACGAGAAATCTCATTGCGAATATATCCTAATTGTAGCGGTGAATTACTGTGTTAGGATACCTTTAAAATAAAAGCGTCAAAAAATGAATCATACCCGCCCCCGCCCCCCTACGCCCCAACCCCCAATTTTCAACCCCTACAAAAAAAATTCAAAAATGATCAGGGACGTCTGAAACGTCCAGAAACGAGATTTGAGCTTTTTTATTTATTTTTTTCGTTTTTTACCTCCAGCACCGCCGCCACTGGATCGATTTCAAAAATTATAAAGCTTTACGTCCTTGGCATAATAGTAACCTTGTGTAAAAATTTCTTCAAAATCCGACTGGTACTTTCCAACTTATACGGGCTTATAGGATTAGAGACAGACAGACAGACAGACAGACAGCAGACAGAGCGACAGACAGACAGACTGACGGAAATGAGTGACATGGTTTTTCGTGATGTACATGTCATGTGACCTCCAAAAAACATAACATCTCAATTTCGATTTTGTTCGCGATTACAATACTTCCCCGCCGATTTTTTTCGGAAATTCATTTTTAATGCAGATATATCGGGAGGCTCCTTTTAAATGGAACGCACTGTAAATATACTTCTATCTGTATTTTAATTGGAAAAATGAAATAAAAATTTCTGCTACTTACAGTGGAAACGATATCCGATCTCATAATTTCTTCCACTGCAGCGTTTATTTTGTTCTTCTTTCTTTTTAACTTCCTTTTTTCTAACTCTTTTTCATTATTTTTCTCTATTGTCAATACATCCTAGAATATGTTTATGAATACAATAGTTAAAAAACTGAATTATCTTCAAGAGTTATAATGAAGTAGAAAAAAGTCAAACCTCAGTTTTTTGAAGATCGAAAAATGTCGTTTGCTTATCTTTAACTTCTGGTTTAAATGTGGGATCCTTCATCGAGTCATCGGAATCGAAATCGAGGAACGACATATCACCAGAAATCGATGGAGCGGGACTACTTTCATATTCATATTCATCTTCTGGAAAATCATTAAATCGAAAATAAAATTATTCAAAACCATAACCTAACAAATATATTTCCATTAAACGACTCCAGACTATTGTTTGAATTAACTAAATAATACATTAAAATGTGATTTTTTTTTGAATTTTTCATAAATCAATAAATTAAGTTAGTATTCAATTTGATCACCTAATTCAATAGACATGGAATAAATAATCACCTTTATCCTCTTTTTTCCTTGTATTATCTAAGCTGTTTAGAATTTTTCTAGCTCTGTATGTTGGGCTATAATAAAATGCAGAATTATTATATTATTTCTTAAACTAAAATCATTATCACTTACATATTCATTTTTGTATTGTGGAACTGGAGACCGAAACAAAAGCCAATACACACACACACACTCTGAGCACGTTAACTAGACTAACACGACACCGAAGATCTGAAACTATTTAAGCATTGTCAAATAATATTTTCAGGATTCTAAAAATAGCTCAAGGTCAGCAATTTTTACTATTAAAGAACCGGCAACGCCGCGGGAGGCTGATTAGTCAACCAACATAGCAAACTATATACAAACGGAGGTATATTAGCAAATAAGTGGTCGGAGGCATCTTACATTTAAAAGTATAGCGAAAATCTGTATAATTTAAAAAAGACATTATTTTTACCCCTCTCAGGGGGAAATGAGAAAAACAATGGACGGGAATTTTCTGTAACCAATATACACTGAGATATGTAGTATTTCAGCCGGAGGCCAGGGTGCCTGTTTCGTATGTGGAGGCGAGAAGGTTAGCTGTGCATGTATATATATATATATATATATATATATATATATAAAACGACAACAATTCTCGCGCTTAGGGATTTCTCCTACGACTTAAATACGGTAAATATTTTCTTTGTAATCCTGGAGAGACTACAAATGGGTAACTTTTGAAACTGACTCTAAGGTTGTTATTTGAAACATCAAAGTAATGAGCTGTATCAAAAAGAAGCTTCCAGATCATGTAACTCCTGAAGCTTATTCTGTGGTTTTCGTGTTCAGAGGACTCCACACGTGGATTTATTCGGCCAGACAATGGAGGCATATGGCGTTTTCAGATGTTTTATCAGAATATTGGAATAATAATTATATGATCAATGAAAAAGCATGACATTTAAGATTGCTTTATCTGAGTAGATACAGATCTGTTAGCGAAAGGAGATACTTCAGAAAATGTTATCATGATACCTTTTGGTGAAAAGCATCTTGATGCTTCACTGGATTGATAAGATGCCATTTTCCCACCATGAACAAGTAAACGATGACAAAACATATGATTTCAATGACCATTCTGAAGTCTCGCTGCGTTCAAACGAGACCGATGCAGCAGGTCGTGCATGTGATTCGTTCCCTATTACCCAAGGACTAACCTAACTGGACACGAGCCCTACTTTTTTCCCCGCATTTCACCACGCGCCAGTCCGTTACAGCACCGTTGTGCTGTCTTCCCTGGGTAACTCAGACCACGGTGTTGTGGAGATTCCCGCACGGGTATCATGTAAAAAAATATAATACGTCAGATGTCATGTTGCAGACTAGGTAGTTTTTAGGGTGCAAACAGTCATTCCACGTTTGCTCACTAGGATCGTTGTGAACGTCCACTTATGGGGGAACCACTAAACTAAACTACATGCATTATTGGTTGCATACGTTTTGCGAGGCCGAGTGGTCTGTCTGTAGTTTTCATCTCTGAGAAAAAATTGGTTGAATAGCAAAATCGCATCTGGATTATTATGTGTATTGGTCTGCATGAGTATAAAATCAATGATATTTGCTGTGTAAGAAAATCATTACTGAATATGCTGCCAATGAAGTATATCTATTAGCTGTGCCCGACAGGTTATTTATATGTTGTGCTTTCTAAAGAGAGATTATGTTCAAATTTATAAATTACGAAAATAATCACCGCGCCCGCGTTGTGTGCAATTACTGTTAGCATGCCTTGTAATTCGATAGTGTACAGTTAGTATAATTATTTCTTATTTCTCTCATTTTTGAAATTCAACAAATATGTATATGTAATTTCCAGAATGGATAAGAAAAAGGGGCTGCCGCAACTAATTTATAGCGTTGAATGTCAATTACGTGCATTTGAGACAAGAATCCAATTGAAATATCAACACATACAATTTACAGCTTAGACCTCCAGTAATGCCATCTCTGAAGCAGATTTTACATCACATCAGAGCCAAACATTGATAACAGAAGCCTCATGACGTTTAGGCAATACGTACAACTAAATGCTGAGTTAACATCTTGTAGAAAAAACTACATAATGAAAAATAAACAGTATAATGTCAAAAAAAATCGACATAACGTAGCTTTTCAAGATACATGACACCTGTGCCGACGCCCGCGTGCCGTCGATTCAAAGAGTTCCTTCTACTGTGTGGGAAGTAACATTCAGACATGAGACCGTAAGACGGGTGCTCTTGTATTTGGATCTTATCCGGCCATGATTCCTGCCTGCCTTCTAGATATCTTACGAATCCGGCACCTGGCGCCCTGTGATTTTTTCTATTCCCAAAACCGAAGAGACCCATACAACGATGGAGGTTTGCTATAATAATTGTGAACATAATGGTTACATTGCTGAAGATGGTACATGTTACACTAAAAAGTGCTATTAGGAGTGGACTGGAAAAAGCATGTAATTCGAAGGTGGTTACGATGGCGACAACATACTGATGAATAAATATATATTTTTCGATAAAAGTAAAAGATCACCTTATTTTCACCAGAATGACTTAGAAGGAGGGTTATGTTTTTCATGCGTGTTTTTGTATGTCGACAAGAATAATTCTATTTCACGGGCTAGATACAGTTCAAAAGGCTTGATGGATTTTGACATAAGAGGTGTCTCCAGTGTTGTGTTGACAGTGTAAGTGACGTTGGCTATGCTAGTATGTTATCAAATCAAAATAACCGATTTTAATAAAAAATTGCAATTTCAAATTCTATTTCAAGGGCTACAGGTCCAATGCCTTGACAAATTATGATATGAGTGGTGTCCTTACCTCGCCTTGCTAACCAATTTGAAAATCGATTCTTTTCACTTATATCTTATATTTCACCCCTTTGTAAGGGTAATTGGGCCACCTATACAATATACCCAGGGGTTGTCCAGGTTGTAAAGTCAGTCCTCGTTAGTTGTCAGAACTATCCGTGGGACCGTAGCTCTTGAGTCATAGTATCAGCTTGTAAGTCTGTCAGGTCTGGTAACCCAGAAACCAGACAAATTTAAGGAAAAAAGGAAAGGAAAGAAGGGAAGGAAGAACGAGTGCAAAAAGGGAGAAGATAATCGTTTAAGCATTAATAAAAATCACTGGACATATCTTGATATAGTCTAAAGAAATCTGATTTTTTAAGGAGTTTGTCAAAATGCTCCTATTTTGGTTGTTCTAAGTTCACGAATTAATTTTGATTACAGTGCGAACCGCGGCCTTTTGTGCTTGCAAACTTCCTCGACTGTGTAGTCCTTCAGGGTTGTATCACCCACTATACTAATAGCCACAATAGCCGAGCGCTACCCAGATTGAATTCTCGTGTAAACAGAATAGCTGGGCAGCCTCAAAACGAGTGTTAGCTAACTCTTATAACATAAATACCGAGCTGCAATGTGGTGTCTTCGTTATACCTCGTTTTTACCTGGAATACTTCCGATGGTAATTTTTAGGCAGCTAGGTTTATGTCAGATAATTCTAGCTACGTCATGCTGGCACGTTTATCCATAGCCTATGGCAAGGTATAACGAGACCCATCACCTTCTTGGAAGACATATTTCGTATTACGGAGCCATATTGGAATTTTACATAGGTGAATAAAGTTTATAATTTTGGTTTCAAAAATGCGTAATATGTTTACATTGATATGCCAGACATTAGTTAGATAGAAAGAATTTCATAGGTAGAATTTGCAATTATCAGATAGTTTCGTATAC